TAGCTGTACATGCTTTCTTTTTTGCCCTTTTAATTATAAGAATCTTCCTTTTTACAATAGTCCCCCCATCACCTGAGTCATAAAACACCAAGACCTATGGTTGGATTATGTCATTTTATGAATTTACAGGTTATTTCCTTAGTTAGGTGCTGTACGAGAGCTGTATTTTATTGCTAAAGCAGTGCACGGGGCAGATGAAGGAAGAGCCAGTCCTACATGTTATTGGATGGAGCGTCGGTAAATGCGTGGAGGGCGTACCTTGGGTGCTCGTATAGCACACTGACCACAGCCTTTCACCACGATGAGAAGCTGGAGATCGGGTTTTAGCCACCAGCCGTGTCGGGGGGCTTCCCTGTCCTGTGGGAGCTGGTTTGGGGTGGCAGTGCCTGTTCCTGAGAGAGGCTGGGGTCCCCTCTGGCTGCTGAGGCCAGCCATGCCGTCACCCCCACCGAGGGCTGGCCAGCCCCACAGCACTGCTGTGGGGAGACATCTGAGGGCAGCAGGGGTTCCCTGGGCACAGCTACACCCCTGGAGGCAGCGCTCCACTGGCTGTTGGTGCTCCAGGTGAAGATAGGCTGCTATAGAAGTTTCTGGTTTAGTAATTTTAATGATAAATTTTTAATCTGGTCATTATTTTCTTTGATTGCTAATACCTTGACCTCTGGTGACAGCTGCTGCTTGTGCCTGCTAAACTTTAATGCAGGCTACAGTAAAGAACATTATGATTATTTGAAAAGGCAGGGTGTAATGCATTTCAGATTAACAGCAAAAGAAAAGCTATTCAAGGTAGAGGTTCACTTTGCCATATCGCTCTCTATGCTGCTTTCCTTATTATCAGTACAAAAAATGAAATGAGAATAGCAGATCTTTTAATTTTCTTCCACTATTACCTCTTGATTTGCATTCAGAGCTCCCAGAAGAAATACCGCTGAATTCAGAAGTAGTCTATTTAAGCTGCGTGGTGTTTAAAAATTGCTGGAAAAGGTGAAAGTACTGTATATTATGCAGTTGACCTTACTAAAAAGCGATGTTAACAATTTAGACTTATAATTTTCTGCTGTTACATTTTGTTAAAATATTTTTTTTTTTGAAGCAAAATTCATTATCTCTTTTGGTACCCCTGCAGGTTAAACCTTTTGATTTCTCTCTAACTTATTTTGTAAGATTCCTAAATTGTATTTAAACTTCTTGCACTTAAAAGGTTGTTTTGCCCGTGTCTCTTTGAAAAGAGGGATTTTTTTGGTCTCTCTCTCTCTCTTTGTATCTGGTCTGCAGAGGCTGTGTGCCTTCACAGCATTTTCCTTAGGAGGAAAAAAACTGAAACCCTCTGTCTGCAGAGTCCTGCAAACACATTTGAACTCTTTTATCTGGCACTAGCATGGCTTTGTGGCTGATTGGGTTTGAACAAGATGTCCAGGGAAAATATTTTGGATCCTGCCTTTATCAGTAGCCTCCTATGTCGGATTCAGCCTCCCTGGATTTAACCTCGATTCCCTGGCTCTGTCTAGCGATGGCCAGCACCCGGCCTGGTCATTTGGAAAACCATCAAATCCTAATAAAGCAACAGTAGCGAAATGTGCCAGGGGAGGAGGGAGCTGTACCCTGTTGGCCTTTCAAGCTCCCTAGCCCTAAATAGAGGTGTTCGTGCTCTGTACTGCTGCTTGAGCAAAAAGCTGCCTCAGTAGCAGAACCCTGTAATGCAGAACGTTTTCTAAGATGTCCAAGGTGTCACCATCCCGACTCCACGGGGTCTGCAACCTCACCAGTCCCCGGCAGCAGGTATTTGTCGTGGACACTACCTGCTGGTCACCTCTCATCTGAAAGCTACAACTATGACTCTGCCAGTAAATAAGAGAGTCAGCGGCTCTGGGGCCTGAGGCAAAGTAGCACGGACCAGACGTAGCGGCATCGCACAACCTGTCACCCTCAGACATAATCATTATTTTGAACAGGTTTATATTTTTTCAGTCTGAAATGTTGAAATAAGGAGGGGGCTGTGCTGCAGCGTTTATGCTGTTCAGGCAAGCGGGTGTGATGGTGGTGTGCAAAGCCGCCTGGGAACCTCCAGAGGACTGCGGGGAGGGGACGGAGACAGGCTGGACAGGCTTGTCCATATTCCCCACTGGAAACAGTCCCTGGTGCACGCTCACCCACAAATACTGGCTGGACACGCTCATGAAATGCTCGTTGGCATAGGCCAAAATCAGGCCAAGCAGTGTGCTACAACTAAAGCAGTATGGACCGTCAGCAGTGCAGGGCTGGGGATTGCCCGACCCGTTTGCTTGGCTGCGTTGGCACAGCATCTGAGCACGGGCTTACAGCTCGGAGACAAGGGGCGTCTCTCCATTGAAGCAGGATCAAGTTGTGACTCGCAGCTGCAAGCGTAAGGGGAAGGCACTCCGTGCATTTTGACATTTCTCCCGAGTTCTTACTCATTCTTTGCACTATTGCAAGAGTCAGTTAGACTTCATACAGCAAGAGCAATATATCAACAGCTGCCTTCCTGTTGTAAAGTCAACACAGGGAGCGAGAGAAGCCCAGTATGGATCCCAGAGCCAGAGCCAGACGGTAGTTTTCTTCATTTAATCTCCAGGTATGTAGACTGTGATCAGCACCATAGCAACTATCTGGGCAACTTGGATGAGTTAGATACAGAGGTAGCAACGCCTGTTACTTATACAGCACCCTTTATTGGAAAATTAAAAAATGCCAGATACCAGTTTCATTGAGATAGGTAAACTGCATTCATTTGTTGATATGGAGGTGCCATAAAACCTCTGTTTGTATCACTGGGATATATCTACACGATAGAGACTGTTTGGCAACAAATCAGTAAACCAGTTAGAGGTTCTAAGGAATAAAAGAATAAACGAAGGGGATAAAAACATACTAAATGGATGAAGGATCAGTCTATGTGCAGAGCCAAGCTGAAACTTGGCAGCTTTATAAACCAGTTAACACAGAAATAAATGAAAGTCCAAACAATAGGAACAAATCTGGAACAAATAAAATCATGAACTCACAAATGTTATAAATTGATTGTAAAGATAAAAACGTCTTTTGAATTAATTGTGTCCCTGTAGTTCATTCTACTGCATGCTTTACTTCTGGGAAGATTCTGCATCTGAAAAAAAACATCTGAAGTGTATTCATAGAGCAGTACAAATAGAAATAAATATTTCTCACTTGAAATAAGACGACACAATTTGTCTCTATGTTATTAGCTGGTTTTCCTCTGAATCATCTTGAACTTCTAGTCAGACAGCAAAGTTAAAATAAATTATTTCATCATGCTGCAGAATATTTCCTAACTGTGTAATTCTTTCCTTTCAGACTGCAGGTACTAAGCAGATAGCGGTTCTATGTGTCAGCATTTCCCTGGTGACTCTCAGCTTTTGCAGAATTTATGTTTTGACTAAAAGGATGTAATTATTTTTATAGATTAAAAAAAAGAAAATCTTCATGTGTATACTGAGTCCACACAGTCCTGGTCAACGCCAAGAAAAGTGTACTCTCTGTCTGAGGCGAAATGTAGACTATATCAATGAGGTCATCTCCAAAGCTTAATTATGAGATAATAATTGCAATTTCTAATTTCAGGCTTAATCAGTTTTATGACATCCAGCTTCGCAGAGCAGAGCCAGTGTGAATGCAATAGGAAAGACTTTTGCCATGTGAACATCATCATTCCCTTGGCACACACTTGGCCACTGTCAGAGCTTGCCCAGCAGTAGTAGAGCCATCCCCTGTAGTATTCAGGTTAGGACAAAGGATCTTGGAGAGGAAAGGCTACGTGCCAGATCACCTCTTCCCTCATGGCTGCAGCACCTGATAGACCTCCCTGAGGTGACTGAAGCCAGAGGCCTCTCGAGTGCCACGTTAGCCAACCCGAGGTAAAACTCTGTCCATGATAAGGTAACTTGTAGCACTCACATTAGTGACCCAGCAGGACAAATTAGTCAGCTAAAATGAATAGAACTCTTCTTCATTTAAACCTTTTCCATTTAAATGTTTTCAGTCTTTACATGGGAGGGTAGGGAGCCTCCTTAAACCAGCTAATAAAACCATAGCGTTGCATCACTGCAAGACTGTCATCCCCTGTGGCAGGGATGGATCTGACTGGCTTTACACTGGTCATCCATACCACAATGGATGTAGGCTAAGGGCGGTTTCAAGGCCCAGCAAATGACAAGTGAAGTTTGCTGTATCAGCCAATTAATAGGGTTGGTACTGATGCAGGAATGAAGCTGAAAGTGCAAATAAGGCCAGCAACTAAACCTTTCCAGCAATTATGTTTAATAAGGTACTGTGTGTTATTTACAGAAAACATACATCACACAATTCCTACACATAAAATGCACACAAAATATAAAGACAAAAGCTGCACTCCCATATCATGCTAAACAAAATAAATAAAACTGAATTATTTTGGCACAATAGCTATTACATAAATAAATATTCTAGAACATAATGAATTAACATTTATTTACAGTCTATTGAAAGTGCAAAACAATTGGCTGAAAATTAAATTATTTGTAAATGCTGAAGACCAGAAAATATGTGTTAACCAGCCACAATTAATTATAGCTGAAGTTTAAGGTTTTGATGTCCAGGAAATTATTCTTTTGAAATCCTTTTGTGCATATTGTGCTATTTTTGAACCAGTCCTTTGCTACCTTTATGCTATTGATTTCAACAACCTTACTATTGTAATGGAATTTTGTAAAAACCTGATTGGTAGTTTAAAAAAAGACATAAAATGTAAACACAGATTAATATATTTATCAGTCAAAATATTTTTAGTCCTGTCAGTTTTCTGAAATGGCCACACTGCTTGCAGTAGTAGGCAGTACAATTAAGATTATAAATGCTTCTTAGTATCTGTTGTATTTTAAATGGAAATATTTGTTAAGTCTTCTCTGAATGGAACTATACCTTGGACCTCTCTTGAACCTATGTTCTTTCATCAGATGCTTACATACATCTTCTACAGAAGTCAACAGTATCTGGTCAAGCTAAACTGATGATCAGTTTTGGTCCTGACTTGGAGAATAAATCATAAAAGACAGATTTTTAATTAGGGACGACAACACTACCTCCTTTAGAATTGTTAGAAGCTTTTTGTGCACTTTTCACTAACTATTCTGTTTTATCTTTTGCCTTTTTTTATCCATATAAGAAATCATTTACTGCACTTTAAGATGAACTAACAGTTCACAACATGGCCACCCATACAGCTACAGTGCATAAATTCTTCCTCAGTGAAAGGCTGGTACATTGTGCGTTGCCTAAGACCTTAGAATATGTTTTTGCTTATTTTTATAGTGGCAGTGCAGTAGCAGACAAAGTGAAGTTCTTAACAAGTGACCTTGACAGGATAAAAGATCATTTCTCATCATTGCTTCAAATGTTTATGCTCGACGTGGTTCTAGTCGGTGAGACATCTGTGATAAAGTTCTCTGGTTGTCAATCACATTTAATTGCCGCACATAGCTCCGAACATCCTGATGGTTCTTACTAGTTATGGCTGCATCAGGATCTGGTGAAAGAGAAATGATGTAGGATTGATACACTTAAATGAACAAATGCCTGAACAGAATGCCGAACTCTTTACAAGATGTCACAGTAAACACCAGATCCTGGTGAGTTAAAAAGAAAATATTTAGAAATCACTCTCTTGAAACATTTCCTCCATATTTGATAGTCTTTCTGGTTACTACGCTCACAAATTAACTTTTTCTCTCAGATATCCTTGGCTACGTTTGCTCAAATTGATGGCCCTTGGTTACAGTTTTATATATTCCCTTACCAGTCAATAGCTATAATTATATAGCTAACTAGTATGATTTAAAGCTGCCCATCTGCTTTTGAACCAGCAGCTTTCACACAGATTCAGAACTATATCATTGATTTAAGCCTCCTTTCATGAAATACTCCCATTTCTATCTCAGTGTTAAATATCTGTAACACTGTAGTGCTTAATGGCTGCCTCAAAATTTACTACCTGTTTACATTACTTAACTGCATCATACCTACTCCGACAACAATTACGCACTACCACTGAGTTAAAATCTGTCTATCTTCAGCCTCACAGTGACAGCTTACATTTTAATGAAATATGTGTTACGTAACTTAAACTTCTCTACAAGTAAGACACTGAAGCATCTACTGTATATAAATATACATACACACACACAAAAAGCATGGGACTTAGATATGGTATATCTATATACTGATATTTTGTTGTATCATGTATAGTGAAAATCCACTTCGATTTCTAAATATGTGGAGGTCTCACTAGTGCTTAATATATTAAAATAAAAAGATACGTAGCCAGAAAAACCTTGATGATGGGAGAAAAAAAGAAGCTCCCTTAAGTTGATCTTCTAGAGTTAAGCTTTGGCCCAGATGGAAAAAAGCAATTTTTATAAATATGTATTATATTATTTATTCTGTTCTTTTAGAAAGAGGAAAGCTGCTGTGAGGCAAAATGAATGAAGCACTGAGGAAATGCCAGTGTGACTGGGACTGACAGTGCACCTAGATGGGATGAGACCCACAAAGCAAGCCTGTTTGACCATACAGCTCTGTCATCTTATGTGGCCTCAAGTAAGTCCTGGTAATTATACTGACAAACAGGTTTTAAGTTCATCACCTTATGCAGTTATGTCATTTATAAACGTCATGTTTCCGGACTGGTTTCCTATAAAAACAGGGTTTATCCAAGCAAGTACCTTGCATGTATCTGTGTGCTGCTGTCTGCTAGCCTTATTTCAACCACTTCTGAACCCAGGCTAATTTCAAACAATTCTAATTTGACAGGTGTGTAGAGACCTCAAAGATATTTAGCTCCTCCACATGCTTCGAAAAGAGATGGAGGAGAAGGGACTTCTTAGAGCTTCCTGAAGGGTATTTCACCCTGTGAAACATCAGAGGATCCAAACATGTAAGCATCACTGGAAAACAGGCTTTTCAATTCTGGTACACACAGAATTAGTTGTAATTACTGCAGCTACTGATGATAACGCTGACTGTGCAGATGTTGTAATACACTTACTGAAAGATTGGCTTCGGCAGAATTTCACCGTCCTGACAGTGTTGGCAATCATGCGCTGGAAAGAAAAGATGGGATGCAATCAGAGAACAAGCACTGGATTTCATCATTGTTTAAACGAAGCACCTAGCTGTGCCTGAGTGGAAGACATATGCCAATAAAAGCAGCCATATGAATGAAAAGATAATTTTAATGCTGATACTGTCATATGTACAGTGTAATTTGCATTTACACAGGCTTTAAATGAGCCTGAGTGTAATTTACATGTGCTCAGAGAACCCTTTCCCTTGCTTGGATGCTGTAAAAAGCCTTAACTAAGAACGAAAATCAGCCCTTTCAACGTGCATTTCTTTGAGAACACCTTCCCCCATTAAAAAGTAACAGCAATATCACATAGAACACCTTGGAGTATGTACAAATTTTAATTTTAAGACCATCATTTGCTAAGAGAAAGTCCATGTCTAGAACATACTCAGCAATTAAAGTGCTTTCACCTTTCATATGAGCCCGAGTTTAAAATGCAGCCCTCCTGGAAAATGACAGTGTAAAATGAGCATGTGAGGGTGTATGTTCACTGATTCCCTCTGGAAGTATGCTCGATTCACAGGTGAGAAGGCCACCGTTAGAACCGTGGCCCTGTAGGCAAGTTGCATCAAACAGACCTGTTAGTGTTAGCTTGCACAAGTGCATCTAACCCAACATGAAAAGTGGATTAACTTCTGGTGGACACTTCTACTGGCAATTCACAAAAAAAAGCGGAAGCCACTTCAGTCCTTCTTGGCTGCGGTTGCTCTTCAGTAAATAAGCCATCATTTCACTCAGGTAAGAAAATATTTAATCAGTACATTTTGCTCTGATAAATCATATGCTATTTTATGATCGTTTTTAAGAACAGAAATGAAGGTAAGTCACAAAGCAAAACATTTCAGATTTAGTTCTGGACTGCAAAATTTTAACTGGCTTGTGTGATTAGCACCACACAGGTATACACGCACCAGTGCGGGGGCAGAATTTGTTGTTCTGCACAATATCAAATAAACTGGAACTTCAGCAGAAAAACTGAATTCCTTAGCTAGATAGTTTGATTCAGTCACTATTATAAGGATGACATTTGTTTCAGTTTCTTTTGCTTACATTAAGAAAAAGCAGAGGAGGAAAATGCTATTCCTAATCAGTCTAACGTTTGTTCCAGCACTTTAACATGGTCCAACAATTACAACACCGCTACCTGTTTCAACACAGCACACTCTCACCAGAGTGCTTCACACCTTCTTGAAATTTTGTGTGAGATTAACAAACTAGTCATAAGCCTTCACTCAATGGAATGATACATTTCTTACTAGTAAACAGTAAAACCTAGGGCATACGTGCCTCAAAATTCATACACAATGAATAATCTTGCATGAAAATTATGTTATAAATAAAATACCTTTGTGAAATCTGTTATTCCAGAAGTGGGAAGCACTCATGTAAAACATTCCTTACACACATACTGAATAATCTCGGACATGTTAATACACTATCAAGCATACAAAAAAAGGGTATGGCTGGTGGACAGCATTAGAAACACTACTGATGTATCATGTACGACATTTTTGTGGATTACACATTGTATAATCAAATGAAATGTAGCTATTCTGAAACTGGTCTAAAATATTTTAATTCTAAAACACAAGTTCCCAAAAGATCTAGAGAATTTGGATATGGGTCTGCTTATATTGTTCCTAAAGTCATATGTATTTACATGTGGAAAATAAGTAGATTTCAAATAAGAACCATTTTTATCCTATCTTTATTTTCATACCTCTTGAAGCCATTACCATCAAGCTGATTTGCTAAGGCGCTTACCTTGTGAACATTCTCATGTGCGCTTAGCATTAAGCATGTGTATAAGCTCCATTGACTTCAATGGAACCTCTTAAATACTCAAATACCATTATAATACTGGATCGAGACACGACACACTGCATATTGCAGTGTTGGTTCTTCAAGTCTAACCCAATCAAATGAAAATCAAAACAATATGAAAATGTAAACATGAATGTTTCATAACTCAATGGACTCATATTTGTCCAATATAAACTCAAAAGAGTTCCTCTTTGGAAGGTGCAAATTGAACAGAAAAACAGCACATGAAGCAGAGGTGAATTTCCCTTCCCAAATCTTGTAGATAAGTTGGATTGTCTTCTTTTGGTTCAAGAAAACTAGAAACATGTAGAGAGAAAATGTTCAGATGGAAGTTTAATTGCCAGCTCCTTACAATGTCTTCAAATAGCAGATTACCTTTAGTTAATGCCTGCAAAAATTAACCTGTTTACTCACTGTGCTAAGAACAACCATTATCAAAAAGCCATACAAACCTAAATTTGGTTCTTTCTGATATAGAACCAACTGTATAATATAACAAGCAACTGCTACTACCAGCATGCTATATATACACAACAATACCCTTTCAAGTTTTACAGAGTCTGGAATAGTGGCAGTAGGCCAGGACATTATCTTCTAATCCATTCCAAACCCAGGTTTCTAAATGTTATAAATATTCATATATGCCATAGAAAACTACTATGGGCTTTAGTCACACACATTTTGCATAATCTTTACGTTCCAAAAATGAAAGAATGTTTGCCCTTTTTTTGCATAAGGATCAGAGTGTGAATTCCCTTTTGTTCGTCTCCACAAAACCCCAAAACCAATATGCACAGATTCTCTAATCCTCATTTCACACCTGAAGGGCGAAAAGCCTTTACAAAAAGAAGCATCAGTGGCCAGCGTCACGGCACTGTCTTGTGCTGCCATGGCAGGTCAGCACTTTCAGAGTTCTTTCATGACTTCTGCTCCCTCTACAGGTGCCATTTCTGAGACATGCTGGGTACTGCGACACGGAGATGGTGTCACAGAAAGTGATCTTTGTTCAGGCTGTCTGATGATTTGAGAAATGACACTGATAAAGTTCCCAAATAACTGCATCTTCCCTTTGTCTATGAATACAAAATTCTGTACTGGCAGTCAGAGTGCAGGATTATGCAGCTGAGGTTTGCAAAAAGCGCAGATCAGTAAGTGGTCAAGAGTATGAAATACTGCCTCTCCTTAAGGAGAGTCATGCTCAGTACTTTCCTCACTTTCTCTCTCTTCTTTCCCTGCAAGATATAATTCTAGGAAAGGGCTTTTAAATGTTTTCTAAATATATAGCTATAAAAGCAGTGTCACTTTAATGTTTTATATTGCAGTGTACTGCATCGCAGGTTGTAGGTTGTCCTCTATCTGCTAAATCATACAGAGTTTATGGGAACTAATACTACTGACAGCGTTGGGGGCTCTCCACCTGAAAAGAGTGTCATTAATGGACCTAAAAGACAAATGTGTATTCTAGATCACAAACTAATTGTGTTTTCTGGCTACTGACATCTTTTTATCTTTCACCTACTTGGAGCTCTCAAAATCTCCTCAACCTGCCAAACTATAACTACAGCTTTTTAAAAACTTTACAAGCCTGTTCATTCCTTGTTCCTCTATGACAAGTATGTTTCCAGTTTTTACACAGATGGGTCTTCTAAAGCAACACTTAAAATTACCATCTACTGTCAACTCACCAGAGGAGAAAAGATGCAGGTAGTTTCTACCACGCAAGGTCATGGAGTATATGCCAACCTAGAAGGCACATCTGAGCAACACTATGGTGGAAACAGCTTGTACCCTGTCTCCATCAGCATCTTACAGTGAGATAAGTAAAACACTTTCAATACTTCTCTAAAACCATATCTTGTTTGGTATTGAAGGCCTTTTACTAAAGACTTGTACTACTAATACCAGTAATTTAGTTATTCTGTCTATTTACTGATAGAAGTATAAGTAACATGTTCCAGGCTGGATTTTAAGGCCATACGTTTGTTTCCTCCACCCCCCTGCTTTGTTTCATGCAGTAAGTAGCATAGTAAAGAGCACAAGTACAGTGCAAATACAGACAGTATACCTATTTTTGACACATTTGATGTTGTTTGCCCACATCTTTTACAAACCAAATGGGTCTGCTTACAAACTTGCCTCTTTACACACAGCTGTGGCTCTACCACACATGGTATTCTCTTCCCTGGCTAGCTCTCCCTGCCCTCCCACTCCTCACAGCCTCCTCCAAATAAGAGGCATCCATGGGGATCAGGAGATGGGGAAGGGGAAGAAGGAGCAGGCAGTTACAAAGGCGGCAGCAGGTAAAGCTCAGCAATGCTCTGCAGAGTGATGTCCCCCCACTACTGCCAATACCACAGTTCTGCCACTACACCTCCGAAAAGACCGATTTATAGGAAAGTGTAGCAGGAAGAAATTGACTCAGTCTCTTTCCTTTTTAGCTTGACTTGCTAAAAAAAACACCCTAGGCTAATGTGGTTTAACACCATCTGTCTGTTTTTCCCTTCTTCTCTAGATAATTTTGTCAAATTTGAAAAAAAGAACCCAGAGTTTTCAAACATAAGAAAGCTCCTACCAATTTTCTGTGAAAATAGATGGCTGTGTACAAGAGAAGGATCGTGTAAGCACCCTCTTCTCCTGTCTCCTTCAGGGAAAAGGCTGTAGTGCAAGTTCCTATGTTATGAGAAAAGCCTATTCACACAGAATTCCCCAGCCATGAAGAAACTACACATGCCCCAGCCACGAGGAAAGCTCTGAGCAGAGCTCAGGCAGCCATGAAACACAAACATGTAGGAAACCAGGCCTCGCTGTTTCTGGCACTCTGGGAACTCCTGGCTCAGACACTGTCTGACTACTCCAGTGTGTTTTAAGATGCATCGTTTAATATAAATAATAACAGAAACATCAGAAAACATAAAAGATTTAAAAGAAGCTGTTTCAGCTGAAGAGATGCCACTAGATCAAACTTCTACTTTTGGCTGCCAGATACAGGAATAAAGTTGTCAGCAGCACATCAGCTGTCGGGATCAGAGCTCTGTGGTGAGAATGCAGACATGATGCCAGAGGCTGTTCTCAGTTTCATCACTGTGCTTACATGAGAGACGGCGGGACCCACCTCCTCCAGTGGCATATGGCACCATCAGTGGCAACTACCCAGGTATTTTTATTCATAAACTTCAGCAAGCATCAAAGTTGGGATGGCTCAAGGGAAATAATTTTCCAAAGAACGAAGATGTTTTAGATCAGTAATAGAACGGCTCCCAGCAATATTCAGAGGTATCTCCATCTGCTTGTGACATAATGTCATGCAGCAGAACAAACAGGCAGAAACAACAAATGGCAGGACATGATTCCTGTGAGGAAATCTGGTGTCTGCTCTTCTGAAAATGGCAGAATAACATCACAGATTTACCTTGAGTTTATACTTATGTAAAAGAGAGCTGAATTTATCTGTGCATTATCTGGCTGAGTGGTCTTGTCTTCACTAGTTAATATCTGGCAATTATGTCTGGATATGGCAGTTGTAAGCTTAACACAAGTAGGCGGTGGCGACTGAGGTTTAACAGTAGGCTTTTCTTCTTTGCTTGACCTGACGACACATGCAAAAAGCTAAAAACTGTCAGGTCCACGTTAGGATTTGAATGAATTATGTGGATGGACTCTGAATACTTGTTGCTTTGAAGAGGTATGGGTTGAGAGAAGCAGTAAAAACACCATAGAAGCATGCAGAATAGAACAAGTGAAGAACACCAAAAACCCAAAAAACATACTTGTAGTATGGCCTGGAGAAAAAGCTGAGTGAGCTTTTAGGTAGAGCACTAACTGAAAAAAGGTTTAGAAAACTGAAAAAGGAGAGTATTTCCCCTTCTTTTGTGTGGAGGAACATGAGACATTATATTGATTCTCTGAAAAATACGTAGCATCAAAAATACAGTAACTGAGCTTCACCTTCCCTTCCTAAGGGAAATGTTCAAAGCTCAGATTACTGATCAAAATGGGTGATACTACATTCATGCAGTATAAAATTTTATTTAAAACCTTTAAGTGCTACTAGTAAATCCATGTTCTGGAGATAACATACTTCTGAAGATAAGGCAATGTGCAGACTAGGGTGAATAGGGCAGACCTGCAGCTGCTTAGATGTAGATCAGTTTAAGCTGCTACAAAATTCACTCTTGGCCTTGGGAGTGCCAAACTGGTATAGAGTGGTGCAGAACCATTTCTAAATGACAAGCCTGGGTTGAATTTCTGTCTATGGGCAAGCGCTCACAGAAGAGCTCCTGCCGCCTGTAATGGCTTTTACACATAACCAGGCATAAAGAAGAGCCTGAGGCATACAGCTCTGAGGCCTGCAGATGTACCGGCTCTTCTGGCACAGGAGGTGTAAGTAGGCCAAGTGAGGTGGAGAACACAGAGCCAGCCACATAGCCACGGCTACAGAAATGCAGCTGCCATGCCTCCTGGTTTGGAGGTGCTCCAGCCAAGTCTGAGATCCCTTGTGTTCTCCAAAATATTTGCTATCTACACTAAAATATATACATTTATCTATCTAATTAGAACAAGCAGTCCAGGAAAAAGTCCTTTTCTGCATGTAGAAGGCTCAAGGCCTTTGGAAGGAGATGGCAACACAGTCTGCATATGCAATTACAGAATGTCATTATTGCAAAGTGAGGTCAGGCCCTGTACTCAAGCACTAGCACTACCATTTACCCACAAAAAAGTCTCAGCTTAGTAGAGAGGTATTTTCACCCTAAGAACAGGCAGATACAGGTGCCAGAATAGATATGCTCTAGCATGGCTGCTGAGTGGAGCTTTACTGCAGAAACAGTAAGTCAGGTTTGGTTTTGCAGCGCAGCTGCTCATAGCTGGGCATGGCTAACTCTGGTTCTCAGATGTACGTGTCCTTAACCACATTAATTAAGAACATGGCCTTAGCAACTAAGAAAACTGCTTCTCACTGCTGAGAAACTTGAGTTTCAGTTGAGATTTCTGCCATGGGAAGTTGCCTGTGTGCAGTTTTCGACAACGATGCTTGAAATGATGAGAGCTTGGGTGCAGGATTTAAAATAAATCAAAACTGAGTGTAATCTAATATTCTATCATTGATCCCCCTTTGTAATATGAAAGCAATCAAGTCACAGAACTCTCCCTTCAATTGTTAAAGGAAAGAAGAAAATAAGATGTTGTGTACATTCTGTATTAAAGCTCCTTTCATTCTCTGAGGAGCAATGCAGAACTATCCCAGCCTGAGGCAGTTCACTCTTGTTTGAAGGAACAGCAGTTAAAATCACAGCTTGGTCCCAGGCTAGCAGTTAAAAATTGTCTCTAACAGTTCTGCTTCCTGTCACTGCTGCTGCCTCTCCTAGGAAGCATTTTGGCTGTGCATGGCTCAGTGGGCAGTTGTTTCTCCACCTCTGTGAGGTTTTCCAGAAACCCAGAGGTCCCAGGCGCTGTGCACAAAGCAGACTGGTTTTGCCTGCTCTTCGTCCTGCCTTCACTTTCGCTAGCCCTGGAAATCATTGTTGAGAAGTTCACTCCTGAAGAGATGAATAGGGAGGTCTTTTAAAATTTTCATTTCAAATGTCATACATACCATTTTTTCAAAGTTTACTAGGTTGTCAGTGAATGTCTTGTTTCCCTCATGAGTAAACGTCATGTCTGTACGGAAATAAAAGCCACATAAAAGCCCATTACTGAACCATGGCCGTACAAAACAGCAGAACATTTCATCTATCCCTTATAAAAATCAAAAGCAGCTATAAAAAGTGAAACATTTAGTTTTTAATTCACAGTATTTCTAAGACTAGTAAAATTGAGGCATGATATTCAGATGTACTAAAGCAGTTTTTCTTGTCTCTCTGTCATGCTTTTTATAATGGAAAAAGATCATACATCACACTGAGATTGATTTTTGCTTTTTCTTGCTCCTACTCTTCTTCAAATATTTGACAAATAGCTTTCAAGTTAATAATTCTGGTAACATCCAAGCTTACCTTTTATAAGTAGTGGCATGAAAGGAATTATCGGAGGGTCCAATTTAGCTACAGTTAGCCTGTAGGCCCTGTGGTTTCTTGATGGATCCTGAAGAAAAAAGAGAACTCAAATAATTATAATAATATGTATTATTATATGTACCGAGACACTGTATACATTCATTTAGATATCACTTATTAAAATCATTATTTTCTCCTGTGGCTTTAAAAGTGCAGCTGCAAACTAAGACACCTTTTATCATTCTCCCATAAAGCTTACATGATGAGAATGCAGCTGCTAAACACAAACATTTTTCATGCCAAATAGCAAGGTAAGATATGATTACAAAAAAATTGTTCATAAAAGGAACCACACATTTTTCTTCCCTCCTTGCAGCTGCAGATCCAGTTTCGCATATGTTGTGACACTAAAATGTATTGCCAGGAAAAATCCAGGTTGGAATATAATTTCCCATATGTACAATCGGAAAGCATGTGATAAAGCTTTTCTGAGTTCCCAGATTAACTTTGAGTGGTACATAAGTTCTCTCAGAGTAGGTTCCTAAGAGTATAATTTATTAGTCATACATACTTGTTTTAGCAGCTCTAAAATGGGATCATAAACTTCTTAAAGTCAAACAAGGACATATAAAATGTTCTGAATCAAGGAATTCAAATCAGTTACTCAGAAACTGAATTAGCTCAGATTGTGCACAGAATAAGGGATCTATTGCTATTCACCATTAAGCTTTCAAACTCTGCATAGATCTTCTTGAACTTGCTTGGAAGTTTCTGTTAATAAAAACAAAAATAGCAAACCTTAATTAAATCCAATTTGTGTGGTAATTTTACTGTAAATGCTAGTTCCTTCTACAACGCCCTAAGTCAGGAAAGTGCTCTTTTTGCCAGATATTTCTAACAATGTGCTAATCTAAAATACAACATGTCTCCTAGCAACCAGATTATAAATAGAGACGGGACCAGCCATGAAACCTGGATCCTGATTTAAACCCCAACTTGAATTTACTTCTTTGGGGTGTTTAGATTCAGATTTTTGTTTGGCTCACATCACAATCACTGAATTCAGAATGTAAGTCAAAGTTCAAGTCAGTAGTTTCAGGACATTCCTGACTATAGCTTATCTGAAAATATAATTTACACACAGCTTGCGTAGGGGTAGCTCAGCTTAGTTGTTCATACCTATGATGAACTGCCCTTGCAACATTCAAATCCATGCCTGGGCATTTCCAGGGGGTTTTTTTGTTCATGCTGATGTATCATCAACTATTGCTCAAATTCTTGACATGACCAGCAGCCAAGGCTCTACCGCTTGCTGGGGTATAAATTAATGAATAGTTTTCAGTCCACAATACCTACACAAATAAATCACGGTCAGTTGATTATACAGTGATTGGGATGAGATGCGCCTTACTAAATATTTTATTTCCCCCTCATGTTATGTTATACATATCTTATAGTCTTTAAGGTAAAATTATTTGATACCTTATAAATTACTTTCAGAGATCACAGTAATGTTTTATGCACAGTCAGAATATGTCAGCTTTCTAGTTTTAATAAGAAATTTCTCTATATTTGCTGAGAAATCAGACTACTACTGGTAGCAGGTAACGTTAAAAATTAAGAGAGACTTTATAGTGCAGACATTATTTTTTGCAATACTTTCTACATTTGGAGTGTGTACCCTAGCAAGATATTTACACTGTGCCACAGCAAGGGCCTAATTTTTAATGATGTGTGTGAACAACTGTCTGCCTACTTTGCATATGCATGCAGATTAGGTATTTGTGAAATAAGTGGTATAATTGGACATTTGCACCTGCAAATATCTAATTTGTGCATGCAACTAATATAAATGCATGATCATATAGCAAAAATCAGGTCTTGATATGTTTGTTTTAAAGTGTATTGTGTAGATATATTTAGCTAAAAATGAAGATACAGAGATTCTCTTGATAAACTGACTGCCCTACAGAACCAGAGTGTGATAACATTTCCCTGAACTCAAGTATATACCCCCCACCTACAAAGGATCTGTGCCCCTCCAGCTCAGACCCTGTGCCCATTTCAGATTGCTGCATGTAGTACATACATTCAGTTCCCTCTTCACTCTTTATACTACTCCTGTACTGTCTCAGCTCTCCCAACTATTCCTCTCAGTAGCCATAAATGAAGGGTCATTCTTCTGAGAAACTGATCTGCAGATCTTTGCCTTTAGCACCGATCATATATACCACTTGCAACGTGTACTTTTGAAAATTGGGCTGGTGTCTTCTCAGATGCGTTAGTCTGATCTCCTATTTCAGAGCACTTTTTAAAAGGTGTTCCAATTTTTGTCTCAGTTGCATCAAAGCATCACCTCAGTCATGCCAACTGTTCTGAATTTCTAATGAACAAAATACATGTACATTCAAATCTGCACTGCTTTTGACTACCAGATTCTTAGTGGTTACATGTGCTTACTACCTCACCCTGCTGGATGCTGCATCCTTTTTATACACTCACATACAAAGAGCAAAGCCACAGAAAAAGGTGGAAGCTCTGAGAATGAAGACCGAACTGATAGTAAGCAGGGGAATGCAGGTTAGAGAGAAAACCAGAACTGGTTAGGACAAACCCACATTTTAATAGGGCAACAGAGTCCATACGGAGATCAGAAAATAGTATGTATAAACACAGGATGGATTTTAAAGAAGTATCTGTGGAGTGATCTCACTAAAGGATCACTAAAGGCAAACAGAGGATGGGCTGATATAAGAGGTTAACTGGCTAACTCATCCTGTTGGGCAGTTTAGCTCATCAGTAGAAGCTGCTGTTGTCACTCTTGTTAACCGCTTGTGCGTATTCAACACATCTATGGGTATACTGCCTTACTAATAAAAATTGTCAGCCTTAGATAAAGGCTTATGCTCAGGAACTGAATTAGTCGATCCAATTCTATCAATAATAAAGGCCCAAGTCATGTCTTTGCTAACTAAAAGCACAAATCCCAGTCAAACTTTTTGGAATTGGATTTTAGGTAAGACTTACCTCCCATGTTAACAAGAGACGGCTCACAGCAACATTACTCAGTCCCATAATAATAGCGAAAAAGGAATTCAGATTTTTGTATTCTTTACAGCTGAAACACAAAGGGCCAGGATTTACGTTGTATGTATCAGTCAGGGCAGAAGAACACATAACCTTAAAAGAGCTGAAACCAGGCATCTGGCATAGATGTGACTGAATTTGGGCAGCCCTGGCCAGCACACCTGCAGCACACCACCAGTGTGTGAGTATTTCACCACACTCTGGAGGCTCCTTTCCCCTCCCTCCTGAAATGACCTACTGCTTCCACTTCACTGGGTGCCAGCTTTTGCAAGGACATTAAAGGAGTCTTTGAAGTTCCACCCCTCCCAGAAACACAGTCCTGAAACTGGGCTCTGTTCAGTCCCAGGGAATACCAGAAACAGTGGAAGCAACTGGTTTACAGCCTCATTTGCTGCAGAACTTGCTGACAGCTTCCGAACAGCTACTGAATGCTGGAAGCTCTCCCTAAACAATCTTCATCGCAGTTTACAGGGATGCTGAGTCTTTTTAAAAGGAGAAGACCAGCTGTCTAGAGATGCCTGTGTGCCGGTGACCTCTCGCTGTGTATGATTTCTAACCAGTACTTGTAGATTCTGGAACTCTTTAGGATGTTTCAAACAAAGAACCACCATTTGTTACCAGCATCATTAAAGAGTTCCTGGGCACAAGCAGCTCTAGGTCACCCTTCATCCCTAACGCAAAGGAGAACTTTTGTTACCGATCAGGAAAAACTGGAACATGTAAATGAGTATTACGGAAGATCCAATACACCATATGCAGGAGTAGACACAATCTGACAGGAACAGCCCACACAACTGCTCATCTGGGACTGCATCAGGTGGCTCATTGACTCAATGGGAAGGGAAGAGAGAGAACAAACCTGTATCTCTCAAATCTGTGTCTCGCTAGGTTCCTGCAGATAATTTGCTATTTTTCACAACTGATTTGCCAACATCTGATTTCAGAACCTCAGTCTCTGCTTCATTTGCTGTTTACCAAGAAAACTTTAACAAGACGCAAGCTTTTCACGATTCTTGCATTTTTTATTAATCGCTGAAGCTTTTAGCTCCTCTGAGGTATTGTCAGCTCCAGATGAAATTAGTACAATCATCACATCCTACTGTCCGACTTCGTAATTGCCACATCACTCTCTTGTTACTCTGTTCTTTCTGTCCCATTTCATCAGACTCAATGTATTGAGTGGGCGAGTCCTTTCGATCTGGGCCTCACTTGTGCCTGCACTGTGTGAACACTAAGCACGTGAAAAAATGCGCTCTCCCATCTGCTGGTCTGTCTGTTGGAGACTGCTGCCCCCTCAGATCTTCTGGCAGAGCTGCTCATACAAATTCTCCCACATCAGTAGGGACAGCGAGCAAGGTTAGTGGAGATAAGCTGAAATGCTGAGGCTACCCCAACTTATTCACACTAGAGCAGGTCAGGGAGTGCCTCGTTAGTGGATCTGAGGGGAGATAAGGATGAAAAGCAGCCAGGATAGGCTGTCAGTGATAACTTCTTTCCCAGGCACAACTAAATCCAGAAGAGGATATCTGACCACAGCCTGTGACATTGAGAATAAATTGTGGCACAGTAAAAATAATTAGTACCACACAGCAGTAGTGCTCAAACATAGTAGGCAGCTGAATATGTGTCTGCAATATGTAATTTGAATCTATCTGTAATTTTAAAAAGGAAAATTTTTGCCAAATACTCTGCTAAGCAATGTAATTTGACAAAGTCCCTGTTAAAATCCATCTAGATGTATGACATTCTACACCAAATATTCTGTAAATTCTACAGCCTCTACACTACATAGCTCAGTTCCAGTCAGAGGACCACTGTAAGGAGGGAGAAACAGTGCTGCATGGCTCCACTGCATATATGCTGCCCGTAAAACATCAGAAAGTGGATCCTCCAAAGCACAACAGTGTGCTCAGAGCAGAGGTCCCTCTGCCTCCCGAAACAGACTGTATTGGAACAATCTTCCTGTTAGTATGAATTGTGAGGACACACATAGGCACACGCTCTTGCCTCCAACACAAACACACATGTGGTTAAAACCTCTTGGCATTTTCCCCATAAACACATACCCTTCAAAAATTTCTTACAGGCTCCTTGGGCTTCTAACACATGCATGTGTACGGAAACAATGATTTTCAAAAACTGAATAAAACTGAGTACAGCGATACACCAGAAGGCTTCTAAATAGCCTGTGGTATATCTGCAAAGAGGAAATATATGCAAATTGGGTTTGTGGATATCCACATGAGTATGTGTAAGTACATCCTAGAAGGCCTTTCTAATACAATTAATATAGGAATAACTCACTGTAGGAAATAGAGTTTGCTTCTTCCCTTTGTTTGAAAGTTTAATCCTACAATGACTGGAGAAGAGATGAACCTGGTAACCTCTACATCCTTTCCCAGCAGATTGTTGCAAAGGCAACAACGGCTCCTGGAACTGAAAGCACACGTGCACAGCACCTGGAGCCAGCACTTGGCCAGCCTTGTGCTCACCTGCACAGACAGGGAGCACACATCACAGGGTGCGCGGGGTGGCAGACACAAAATGACGTGCCTTCTGCGACGGCGTCTGAAACGCCACTCACAGAATTGAAACAGGACTCTCGGTAACAGTTATCTTTGAAAACCGGTACGTGCAAGGCATCTCGTTACCACCAGTCATGCCTAAGATTAATAGTGCAGCACTGAGCTGTTCTCCCCGAACACTTTTCTAATGCGTCTAGTACTTCTAGGTAGGGTAAAGTTCTCATTAGGTCTCAAGGATCTTCAGAAGCAAAACTTCCTCAAAGATACTGCTTCAAGGCCTGGGCCCGCATCTTTTGATCCAATTCCTTGGCTTTTTCTCCCTTCTAACTCGGGTGCACTCTGTGTTTGTTTTACCGCCTGCTGTAGCACCCGTTACCATGGCAGCACTGCACCCAGGGCAGCAGCCTGGCAAAACTTCCCCGCGCCTTTCCAGCGGCGGCAATTAAACCTGCCCGCTCCGTTTGCACAGAGGAAAATCTTGTGCTTTGGATTTCTCTGCTTTTAGGAGACAAAGAGGAGTCAGCAGAGCAGACCGCTTTTAGCTATTTATTTTTAGCGTTGTAGTGATACCAGAAACATGGAAGTAAACAGGAGGTTGTCAAGCTGTTGTAAATAGCATAGGATTAAACCCATGACACTGAGGCACCCACAGGCTAGCGCGGTTTATTAAGGAGATATTTAACTGTCATTTTTAGGATACTTGATTTCAAGTGTTTATGGAAATTACTATCGTATCTTAATTAACCACGTTTCAACATTTTCCCATTTCGTGCCTCTGAGTTCAGAAAAGACCCCGACTCGCCTGTGCGTGGCTGCCAGTGCCCTCTCCTGGACACGGCCCGCCAGGCCGGCGGCGCGCTTGCCAGTTCTGCTCTGCGGAATGAGGTACCGGAATATGCGGCATGTATATTTTTAGAAACTAAAAAGGTAACTTCTGTCCTTCGTTCTGAATATAAACGCGGTCCTGCATGCCCACTACTAGGTTTTGAAAATCTTCCGCTCCGACCAACCGTTATCCGAGCGGAGGGCTCAAAAGCAGTTGCCAGAAGGAAGTCGGGACTTGCAGAGCAGGGCCCTTCCCGGGGGAGGGAGGCACGCCGGTGGAGGGTTTCGATGCGAACATGGATTTCAGCTACGTGGAATTATTAATTGGGAGGAGGGCGGCATCTCAGCTGTAATATTAATCTCTTCCTTCATACAACTACATTTAAGGCTGCAAAAAAGTTAGAACTCATGGTTTAACTGCAAGTAATCGCTTCTTTGTTCAGTAAGACTGCCAAAGGCCTCGCTAGTCACAGTGCCCAAAGTCATGGACAAACCCTTAAACAGGCAGGTTCACTGCACACCTCAGCAAACTGTTTAGATGGCAATGAATGTAGAATACGCCATGAACTAGAAAGGAAGGCAGAGGGTAACAGTGATAAAAACCTGAAGCTATGCAGGGCAGGGGCATGCCCCCGCTCCCTCTGAAGTCAGCCACATCCTTACCCTTGACTTCAGTGATCAGGAGTCAAGGCCAACATCTTTGGCATGAAGGCTACAAGGAGTTTAAGTTTTAATATGAATAAAAGAATAGAAGACAGCAAGAATTGCCTGCTAGCCAACTTTGTTACGCTTAGTAACAAAAAAGGATGTTCATATTGTTGCATTTTTAAACAAAAGTATTAAAACAATATCCCATGCAAACTGGAGGTAACATGAGCCTCGTCATCTCCATGCTACACCTTTTTGCTCTCCCCTCTCGGTTGTCTCACTCAGGGCAATTCTGAGAATGGTTTTCCTGAACAGCACCAGAAATAAGTCTGTTGTCAGGAACATTAAGGCTCAGTTTGTTAATATTTACTAATTTGCATATTAATATTTGCTAATGCATGCAAGGGTAAATGAAGGATTCTCCTAATGAACTGAAATATATTTACTCACAAATTTTATGTGAAAACATGGCCCTAAGAGATCAAGGAGCAATGAAGAGTAGGACAGGAAAGAAGAGTATATATTAACAAGGTTCTATACAGCCCTATTAAGGATAGAATACAGAATTACCAAATAGAGAACATTTTAAGCTCTACTGTGTGTGGCTGTCTGAAAATAAAAAAGAAATATAACAACAAATCAACTATGCTGAACCTCATTTCCAGCTCACAGATGATTGTATACTTACTGGGCTGCTATCTTAATAAACTTCTTTAACAGCTGAACACGCTTGCTGAGTTGAGAGCAAAGACAAATCTCAGTGACTACCCAGAACTGAATTTCATTAAATCTTCTTAAAAACAAGTCCAGATTTGCTGTGGTCTTTCTAAAATTGTGTCTTCCAAAAGTGTGATAGATCAATTCCAGCTAGGAAAAAAACAAACAAACCAGTTTGGGATTTTTTTTTTTAGAAATCTCATCTTTTGGTCAGAGGAAAGAGGCTAAGAATGACCAGGTAAGTATCTAGTCTGGAATTTGCTCTGCAGTTTACGTTTATTGCTGTACAGGTGACAAGGAGTCAAGTTGCAAATCCAGTAGACAATAGCTGAGGCATACTAAAAGCATACCTACAGACTCTGTATAAATAGCTTAATACCGTAAAACATACAAAAGGAATTCAATAAGCAGTGCATGTTCAGGAGAAATTCAACTTTATTTTTGCATTTTGCCTATAAAATTAAGGATGCCTTATACTTTCAAAACTTGTAGGTGGTTTTATTGTGGTATTTTTGAAAATCAAGCTTAGAGAAAGTTTTTCAAATAATGGACAAACCTACAATGTACAACTAAACATTTTCTAACAGATTCTAATCTGCGGAATAGATAGATCCTCATACCTCATGCACACAGTTGAAAAGCTCCCAGTCATAAATGGTCATCTGATGTGCTAAGTCTTTGGAGCTCATCAGTTCGAATGTTCCCACTGTACCAGTAGATGGTCCTTCTTGTTCTGGTAATGGTGCCTACAAATGGAAAAATGGTATAAAAGTATTTTAGAAATACTAAATTGCGTGACTGGTGCTTTTCTTCCATAATGTTTCTGATCCTTTTTTTCAGTATGACCACTTTCCTAAGCATGTTTCTAACATTAAAACTGAAATTTGCTTTTAAACACAGGCTGGCATTAGAAAATGAGAAGCCCTGTGCAAAATCAGTATCCACTATGCCCAGGACAGTCAGGAAAATTTGAAAGCTCTTCAGAGGCACTGTAAGGAAATAAAACAGACTGTTCTCAGTGTGTTATTTTTAGATTGTTCTAAAATTTGAAGCCAGAAATAAATACTTCAATACACGTTGTGCTAACTACAGCATGTATATTTGTTTAGGAGCATAGGTCTTTCCACAAAGCTTTTGTTATCAGTTTCCTTTTTCACATACACAAATAACTAGGCCACAAAGTACAAGCCAAATACTTTTGCAAATTACTGATTCTAATGATGAGAGTTATTACATCTGCCATACTTCAGAAATCTGCAGTGATGGCAAGATCTTCTGATCTGATTTATAAAATAAGCCTCATACTTTCTCTTTGATGGTACAGAAATGTGCTATTTGTGATTGCAAAACTCCTGGCTATGCTAATTAAAATTATATGCTCACAGCCTTATGAGAAAGAATCCTTTAAATCATTCAAGTATAAAACATTTTTGAAATATGCTTCCATGCCACCCAGTAAATTAGATGTGATCTACAGTTTTGCACACAAGTAAACCTCATATTAAAAAGAGATTTAAAAGAGGGCTTGAGAGCAAGTCAGATTTGAAGTAGTCTCTTGTATATATTAGGGTCAAAGTGTTTGAACTAGTGCTGCTAAAATACTAACAACCAACCCTCTTGCAAATTCCAATGCGTTACACCAGTAAAGCTTCCTGTGAACCCACGTTTTAATTGTTTTGATTCCAGGAGAGGGCAGTAGAGTTCACTTACAAGTTTCTTCCTCAATTTCTCATCGGCTCTTTGTTAAGTAATTACAGAGCAGGGAATTGCCAACAGGCTCCTTTCAGAGTACAAACTCAGTAGAGTCTGCAAGATTAACAGACCATATTTACATACTGCAGTGTCAAAAATAAGATTACTAAATGAATTCCCTTTTATATAAGGATATTATATTAGCACTAGAAAAAGGATTGACTGGACTAATACATCAAATCACTTAATAACACACAGTATGTAGGAGCTTTATTTCTGTATGAGTTCTTGCTTTCTACTCTAGGGAAAACTTGTCTTTCAAATATTGTCATAATAGAAACTAATTAAAAATTATTAAACTAAACCACAGGCATTATTACCTTAAAAGGTCCATCTACAATTTTTTAAAATAGTGTATATAAGCAAAGTATTATCTAAAAAAAATCAGGACAGACATCAATACATCAATCTTATAACAGCCTGCAGATTCCTCTGAACTAGGATTTACACAAGCACAAAATTTCTTTAGTTTAAGACAGATATGAATTAAAAGTACATCCGTTTTGTTTAGAAAATCCTAATGTGTGGAAATCTGTGGAAAGAGAATTACCCACAGACTGAAAGAGGGCTTTCTTTCCCTGATTTGGAGACAAACACAACATAGCTGTTACCATAACAAACGCATATTTTCCAAGGGTAGGAAAGAAGCCCTTGCATGTAAACTCATTGCATATTTGAAAATTCATCTAATCCAGAAAAATTTTCACACGGAAATTGCCAAGTGTAATGTCAATAAATATACATGCACAGGCAGCAGCCAGAAATTGGAACGTGAAAGGATAAAACTGGGAGGGTGGCAAGGTTGTAACGTTATTCCATCTGTTTATACCTCTTTGAAAAAATGCAGCTGATAAGGGGCTGTGTTCTGTTACACAGTGCTGAGAACCTTCTTAAAGGTGCCTAGTGTTCCTCCCTAATGCCTACGGAAGTCAGTCCAGTTGATGAAAACTAGCACATTGCAGCCCTGTATCTTAGAGCTCCCTGTAGCATTTCGAGTACTTGATCCATGGTGGATAGCTCAGGGGAAAAGGCACAGAAAGTCATGACAATTTGCTGCCAAAAGTATGTCTACACAGACAATGCAGAGCCATATAAAAGTACCCAGCGTAGTTGTACTGACGCAATATGCCTGCTTTAGAGTAGCTCACCCCATGAGGGTATCTACTTAGCAGGATTAATTAACCTTAAGGGAGCACCAGAATTTAATAAACTGAACAAGAGGTATCCCTGCATGGAACTACAGTATGCTGGATGTGCATTCCTTGGTTGCTAAATTGAAAGCAGTAGCAAAGCACAGATTTTACCGTATCTGTTAAAGAAATCAGGCACACATACTAAGTGGCTTGTTAAAAGCATGCAGGAGGCTGAAACAAGGCTAGGAGTAATAGAGTTCATGCTGACATGACTTGGCAATGACATTTGTTTTTAATGAAATAAAAGGAACAAAAAGTACAGTCAAATCAAACTCTATAAAAGCAGACCCCATGGAGATCGTTAGAATTACTGTATAAACTAAGTACCTATGAACAATTCTACTTAAGAAAAAATAGACTTTCTACCAGGAATATTTTCTGTGATTCTACTTAGAATCATCTGAGACTTTGACACAGTATTTTGTGGGGCTGAGAAAGAAAAGATTTTAAGGAATCTACTGTTGAAATGGAGTTTCCAGAATGCTTTCATTGGTAACAGCTATCTTCAACAACATACCCCTTTGGCCTTGAGGAGATAATTCTGTAATCAGGAATTACTGCATGTCTTAGTGACAATATTCAGCTCCTCCTACATGCTCAGTGTGACACAGAGAATACTGGCATCAATTGCTGTCATGTGGATCAGACAGATTTCTGCTCTAGTTTAGGAAATTATAACATTACCTTGTTTTAATTTCAGGGCTCATCCCACAGCACTGTGACAAGCCTTTTGTTGTGAATGTTTCCACTAGTTTTTACCTAAAGCACTGACAATGCAAAAAGGGCCAAGTGTTCAAATGAACTGAAGAACTGAACTTTCTGAGAACTGCACACATACATACCAATGAATCGAACTGATCACGTGGGCAAGCAAACAGCCGTCCATTAACACTGAGAGTTGTAAACACTGAAACATCATGAGGTTTAAGCACAACCTTTTCTGTAAACACAGAAAAAATGATTGTTTATTATATATATGTAGAATTTACAGCAGGACTGATCCAACAGCTCCACAGATCACCCTTCTGGGAACAACTTTTGCGCAGTAGACCAATGTCCAGGATTCACAATACCTGACTACAAGGTCCTCTTTATTGAAGAAACATGACAACCAGCTCAGCCCAAAACAGTTTCCTACAGAACTGCCATACAGAACTGGAATCCCAGCCCCAAACTGTACAGACAGGTCAAGAAGCCTGTGCTGCCATCTCTAGAAACCACCTGCAAAAATTCAGCCATAATTAGGGACTCCATTCATTCTTCTCTAGCTGTAAGCATTTGGAGAGCTGTTCTTAATAGAAATTGCCTTGGAAGACAGTAACTGCATAAAGAGGTGATGAAATGCAACTGTATTCAAATCTCATTACAGCAATTCTAAAAGAGCATCACATCACAGGTAGAGAAAAGATAATGTAACTTACAAAACAGTCACTTCCAGCGTGTGCTGGCTGTCAGCAAATCTGACAATAAAAAATTGCTGCAACTGCAGAAAGTAGAGCCGCCAGTTCTCAGGAAGTGAGCTGGTTTTGGCAGGCATCACTGTTTGCAAAAATGCCTTCCAACACGGCTCTCATTAGCTCTGTGTGTGTCCACACAGTCGTACTCAAGCAGAGCACTTCAGCAATACCAATTCTCCAGCCGAATTCACCTTGCAGTTACTCTCCCATTTCCACAGCCTACAGCGGGGGTCTGACTCCTCACCCTTTGCCAACACTAGGTCAGTGGGCTTGGCACTAAGTTGCTCAGCAGTGGTTTGCATGGACAGAGCGGCCAGAATGGTAGTGACCACTACTGGAATGTCTGCACTGCAGTGTTTTCTGGTGTTGCTGATTCATATGTCTAGCCTGACATTATCCATGTTTACTTCCTATCCCTGTTGTTAAAAAACTCTTACGCGTCTTATGGTGAAGGAAACGGGGTAGCTCTGCTTTGTAGCATGCAGATACACGAGCTGCTCAATTTTTCTCGCAAGTGAGCTCCAGTCTGTGCCTGCAGTAGGGAAAGGACTTGCCTCTAAGACAGAACCTGGGTACCAGTTGAACATGCACAGGGATGTAAAAGCCTTGAGTGAATTAGTCTTTCAATCCCTCCTGACATTCTGCTTCACTGTGAGAAGTGTTTAAGATGATGGAAATACAGTACCTCCTCCTGAACTCATCTTTACTATGATGAGGCCTTCTCCAGAACCCAGCTTATCTGCTACTGCGCTGATCACTTCCTTCACAGAGGAAGACACTGGCACCCGGATAGTGGTATAGGTTTGGTCTATGCAGTACACCTTAAACAGAACTAAAGAAAAAAAGATTGCACTGTGTATGCCACATATAACAACCGCAGAGACTTTACTGTACAAATTACAGTTCACTTTAGTAACCATCCTCACAAATGAAACAAATAAAGCAACAATAAATCACTACAGTTTTGATAGCTCTCCATTCTTCAGATGTTCTACAATTTCTAAGGTAGAAATCTCTGATTTCCCAGAGCTTTTAGTAAACCATGAAGTACTAGTGTTTCAGTATTGCTACATTATTTATGGATGCCAATTTAATCTGGCACTTTATTATGTTCCAGACATTATAATATTTTAAATCAACACTGCTTTTCAAGACTCAGGAAAACTGGCTGCAAACTGTCTTAATTACAGAAAATACTTTTCATATTTACAAAATAGATTTGAAAATAGATTTTTGGTTACAATCAACAACTTAAATCAAACTGTGTTGCAACCTGTTTTTTATAAGCAAGTATATAATTGCTGAATCAAGAATGTTGTAGATGATGAAAAAAATACCCTAACAATAAGAATTTGAGTGTGCAGTACAAATTGGCTCAGAGTAATACATGAACCCAGGCCTCTGGCTGCCTAGAAATCAATACGATAGTACATTAGCCAGCAAAAAGCAAGGCAGCCCAAAGCAACATGAATTTAAGACAGAAGAAGTTAGCAAAATACTCAGCAAAACACTCCTTCAGCTCAGCTGGCAAGCCAAGCAGCCCCTGGGGTTATAGATGTCCATGTATTTTCAATGTTCAGTGTGCTGCCTGCCCTGCGAATGTGAATGGTGCAGCCACATGAAAGGGGCAGTTGCTGCCTGTCCACACAGACACATTCCATGGCAGCAGCAACTGTTTCGCTCTTTGTAGACCTAGGAGAAACACTGATATGCACAACAGAAGCTGCATGCCTGGGAGGATGTCTGCTGTTCATGTGCAGTTACTTCCAGCTTTTGAAAAGGCTCTTCTGTTGGTTTGATTTATGCCACCAGCTTTCTCAGCTATATGACCTTTCATTTTGTTCCCTTATTTTTGCCGTTGTTTGCTAGTGAGAGCTATCCTTTAATATCAAACACCTTGAAGCAGAAGCTATTTTCTGTGGTGAAGATGCACCAAAACAATCATTGGCCCTAGCAGTTGCAAAGAAATCCTCAGATTTATGAGTTTTAAGGGGCATGCATCTTTGTTTACAGTGAACAGTTCTCATGAGCAGAGCTCAGGATTTTGTTCACATAGCAGTGCTTCAACCTGCCTGAAGTAAAGGACAATGTGAAAAGCCAGTACAACTGAAAATGATATTCTGATACACTGCTGTAAATTTTACCTTGATCTCTTCAGAGAGTCAAACAATAGCAATAGGGCAAACCAGCAGATTTTGTTTTCTAGGCTGTGTGCCACGGGGCAGAGATCCATGGCACGATTATCTGCTCCACTCCTGTCTCACAAAGGAAGACCGGTACATGTTAGCTCAAGCTACGCAGGGGACGCAGAGGCTCAAAAATGACCTTCATTACCCAGTATCTATTGCACATTTATTGCCATTACCTGCATAGACACTGTCTGTACTGGTTCTTACCCGTTTTGTTCATTCCCTATTTTAAAGGATTTTACATCTTCCTCTGAAGAAGCAGTGTTTGATAGCACAAGTATTAAGGGAAAATTAAATCACTTCAAATCACCAATGGATAATGCTGAGCTAGCAAAAGCAAATGGAGTTTGCTTCAGGCCACGCTTCAAAACTATAGGTAGGTACTTTTGTTTCTTTTTAGACCATTTTTTTGAGAGAGACAAATTTACTGCAAATCTCAGTGGCTGAAGAAAACTTTGCAGAGCAGGAACTCACCTTCATCGCTGCCCCTGATAGGCTGGCGTTTCTGTGCTCTGTCATCACTTGTGTTGAACAGCTGTAGAAGAACTTTGTGCTGAAAATTAATCATCAGGATTCACATTAATGCAAAAAAGAAGCCTTATGGAGTAGACACGAACTACAGTAAATCTCTTATCAATGGCAGGAAAAAGAGTAGCAATACAAAATGTTAAAGCTGTTTCTCAGTGTGTTGTTTTAATATATCCATGATTACTAAAGAGAAGATGATTATGGATTTGCTGTGCTAAAGCTTTTACTTTAGAAAATGGACAAATAAATTATCTTACCTTCTTTTGTGGTGCTTTAGGTTCTTCAGAACTATCAAAAAGTAAAGCATAGAATTTATAATTAAATATTACCTGGGAGACTTTGCGTACAAAATGACCTATAGAACATGGACCACTTGTCAAACTACAATATCAACATACTAACGTTTGCATATACGAAGACTAGATGATACTATAGTCAATCTATGACCAAAGCAGGGAAAATACTGTACGAAATCCAGGTAAGCATGAAATAAGCATCCAGTTTAGTTTCAATGGTGTGTATGTAATTCCTTATTCCTTCTATCAACCTTTTAATGAGAGTTTGGTGTTTGCAAGAATGATGTGGAATAAGAGGGCCATAGACATTCATCCAAACAAGCTTGCATGCAAACATTCAGTCTTGTATGACTGAGTGCTATTCATAGAATGGATTTTTGATACAAGCAATAAATTCTCTTTATTTACTGAGAAAAAGGCGGGGAGAGGAAAGAAGCAAAAACTCTGCTTACACTTGCTTTACAATTTTCTCTAGCTCCGGAAGTTGCTCCTTTAGTGCTGCAATCATTCTAGTATCATCTGATACAGATACATAAAATTCCTGTAAATGATACAGAATAGTCTTTAAATAACCATAGAGGTAAATGAGCAGTACTCAGAGGATTATGAGATGACATCTGATAGCTTTATGATTATAAAGAATGATAATCTGCACAGAGGAAGACATGCTGGGCCCAACCCTCTATTACTTCTACTTGTTTATCTCCAGCTGATTTAAAGCAAGAGTTACACATGCAGAAGGGAAGCCTGATGAGGCTCCTCAGCTCACTGTGTAACCACTGACTGCTTGTGCAAAAACTGCATTTTCAGATTATCAGAGATGAAGACTATAAAATTCACAAATAATCTGGCATTATAGGGTTTTTTTTCCAACTGCCGTTGTAGTCCTTAGTGGTTCATTTGCTTCTGAGTTGTTGACTCTCAGCTACTCCAGTCCGCTACGATACTATCCTCCTTTAAACCCTACTCGAACCTCTTCCTGCTACACCTACATAAAACTGACCCAAAGAAGGTTCTATGTGCTTGCAACTAGTAGCTGTTCTTTTAAGTTCTGGACTAACCAAGACGTTATATCTGTTTCCAAAGCTTGTCTATTATGAAAAGTTTTCCCATGTAAGCTTGCTATACGTCTGTCATACTTAAGGCCCCTCTTTATTCCCCTCTGCTAACTCTTGTCTTAGATTCTGTTTTAAGCTCTTTGGAGCAAGAACATCCATTCAGCCAGTAACATATGGCATTGTGATCCATAAACACAAAATATAATAATGGCAATCACGATGACTTAACATGATATTGGCAGTGCATCTTATCTTAGAAATACAAGGATGTGGCACCTACCAAAAAGATCTTACAACAAATGTCTGAGGAATTAAATAATTTTAAGGGATCATAAGGGTTCTGAAGACAAAGATCTTAAGTTTCAATAGCTGCAGTACAGCTTTCATTCAAGCGGAAAGGATTTTTGGTTTTGTAGAGTGAGAACACTTGAGCTCCTTCCTGGCACACCTCAGGCAGGCATAAACAGCCCCCTACTTCAACCTGTAGTGCCTCTGACCTATTCACAAGAAAATACTAAAAAAAGCAAATTCATCTATTGCTATAAAGCAATCTACCCATGCAGTGGTTTGAAAGGGGTTTGCAAGTCTGGCAGGTATTTTCAGAGGTCCAGGGGATGACAATGGTTCAAGCGCTGCTGTAGTGTGTATAGCACCTGCAGCTAAAACCCAGAAAACAGTGTTATGCGTTTGCAATTTGAAATGACCCACTTCTCTGTAGTTCGTAACACAATTCTACAGACTGGGAACAGGCTTTCAGCTCATCTTGCTTAGTAGGTACTTTTCAGTACAATGATACAACGATTCCTTCATACCTCCAAAAAGGCCATTGCTGCTTCATCTTCTTGTAGTAAATCTCCATATAAAGCAGCCCACTGCAGAACCAGTCGAATGACTCGCCTTTTATTGTTGAGGGCGTAATCCATTTTCTCCTGCTCTGTACCCTGGGAAGGCTGGGCATGATAGGTGCCACAGTGTCAAGAAAAACACTCAGTGATTGGAATGTATGAAAACCAAGATGAATTCACTACCAAATGACTTGCAACAAACCATTTTTAGGGTGTTCAAACATAACTTTCCAATATCTACTTCTGATTTCTGACTGCCACTAGTATAAAGACTTGCGAACCTTTCACGTTCATACTAAAAAGTAAAAAGACAGCGAATTCTCTAAAAAGCACAGGAATGATCACAATCCCCAGGGTTGCTGTAGGGGAGCAGAATAGAAATGACACTTGGAGCAACAGAGAAGAGGATTAACCGTGGAGACTGAAGAAGGATAATTATCCTTGTTCTTCTTTGGAGACAGTTGAAGAAAAAGAAAAACATCACTTTTTGTTTATTAACAATTCCAGTCTTCCATTTGTGAGGAAGACTACTGGAATGAACCACCACTGTTATTCCTTTTTTTTTTAGAAATTACTGTAACCCAAGGTGAACCTCAGTCCCATCATGGTAGGGGGACCTGGAAATTTACAGCCTAGACCGACTAAAGAGACATGGGGTAAAATAATAAATTCTGTAGTAGCCTCATTTTACATATGAGGAAATCAGAAGCTTCCACTCTATCAAATAAATCATATTTGTGACACAATACTTTGTGATACCTATTTTGTGATAAACAATAAGAAAAAATGGGAAATATTTCATTGACCTTTTTCATGATGAAGTGTCAACATTACAAAAATATGCAAATAGCAAAAAGGACAAATAACACTTATTGAAAGGAAGAAACCAAGAAAAAACTACAGGCACAATGGGCAATAAACTGAGATAATTTCAGCCTTTAACCCATGTGAAAATGAAGAAGAATCCCCAGCAGAAACAGGATATAACAATTTGTATGCCTACTTCTCACTGATCAGAGGATAATAATACATAACTAAACTGTTTCCCAATAAACTGATGGCTGAATGTGAAGTCAGCACAGAATGAGTGCAGTTACATCAACTTTTCTTCCTGGAGACCAAAATTCTGGTTCTGGATTGTCATGAATAATACTATTCCCAATTATATAGCAACGATTAATACTAAAATACTGATACTCTTTCACTCACAGTGAAGTCCAACATCCTTTCAAGATGCACTTTCAGTTGCTCTAACAGAAGATTTTAAAATAGTAATTAAAAATTAAAGTATTAATTAGAAATAAAAAATATATTGATTTTAAGCTTCCAATTTAGAAATATTTCTCTAACAAATGCTAACATACTTTATACTAATAAAATACAATGAGAAAAAGTATCTGTTAACTTACACTTCCCCCAACGATCCTCCTGCCTAAAACCCCTGCAGAGATTTGACATGCTACCAGGGCTACTGGGGCACTCATTTGACTGACAAACTTTTAGAAATCTGCATTTTAATTTCATTCAGTTGGGTTTAAAATGACTAGAGAACTAAATATGTCAGTACATTTATGACAGTAAGTCAGTCAAAGGGTCTTAAGAAGTAAATAATATATTGTAAGCTATGTGCTCTAATGTCTCATGGAGCAAGTTTAATATTCCACTAAGTCATTTTTCTCATGCCTTTTTTACCTTTCAAACACTGTAATTATTTCATATATTTTTACTTTCTTATTAACTGACTCACCACAGGCACTGGTAATTTTTCTGTATTTTTACTGCTCATTTATATTAATTGCTCTTTTATTAACATTATCACAGAGAAAGTCAATGAAGGGTTCTCCCATTTTTATGGCATCTACAGGATGCAGCTTCACTGCAGACTGCAATCAGAAGTAATGTATCATGTATACTTGCAACAAGTGTCAAATAATTGTAAAATATTTATCAACACCAACATGGTTAGAGTTCTATATATGTATTTTTTTCTAATTATGTCTAGCACATGCTAGGAAATGGAAGCAATTCTGAAGTCTGTCTTCCCTGTGTGGGAACATTTAACCATATCAAGAGCTGTGCAAAATCAGCACCCACTACTACAGTAGAATGCAAACTATTTTGCTGGTGTGATGGTAAAGCAGGTTCACAAAACGTTCATACAGAAAAACGCTAAAGGATTATTATCTACAGAAAGCAAAAGAGGAATTTATACTTCAAAAGTATTTAGACTGCGGTTCTTTAAAGAACCTGCTCACACACTTGCTTTATCCCAAGTGCACTTATGGGGGTGCTACTCTATTTCAAGTTTTCTTTTGGGCTTTGTCCTGCCTCCCTCTGACAAGCTGTAGCTCTGAGAATTTGTCCATTTCCATCTCTGTGAAGAAGAGAGGGAAACAGGGGCCTCGGTCCAACACACAGGACTGATGTCCTGATCCAGGAAAGGGGAGTATGCCCTTCGCTCCCCTGTAAAAGAGAAGTACTATATTTTAATGGCTAAAAAAGGGTGGTGTGCCAAGGGACAGCACAGTGTAAGCACTGAATCTGCAGCAAGCAATAATGTTACTTCGCCAAAATGGTGCACCTGTCCATTCCTTTCAGGATTAAAGAATTTACAGATGGATGGTCGCATCTCGAGGGCAGTGGTCAACAGCTCAATATCCAGATGGAGA